ACGAATTATTAGCGTACACCATTATAATTGCCCCCCTACCGCATCCTTCTTGATTGCTTTTTCTAACCCTTTGACGCCCTGATGACTTCTGACAGTTGATTGGCCTATGACCACTATAATTACCCTCCTTTTGGTTGCTGCTTCTCATCTCTGCAAATGGAGTCCTGTAAGAGTTCGAAAGCTCAGGACAATAAACCCATTGATCCGGTGCTCGAAACGTCTTCTTCCTTGTCTATTCGCTTTATCGTCAGTTGTGGAGTCCTACCAGGCCGTACATTCCATATAGGTGAACCGATATTCTGAAATCCGTTTTCGATTCCATCATATTAATTTAGTATATTTGTAATGTTGATGGCTGCGCAGTCACGCCGGCTTTTGTATGATCTTCTTTTTGACCGTCTGAAATAAGTGTTTTCTGTCAAAATGTAAATGTTTTTTTTGATTTTCACTACTTTTATAAATTCAAGTAGTAAGAAGAGAAAAGCTTCTCTGGGAAAGTTGAAGCTTTAATGTGTAAATTTTCAAGACAGGTTCTTCCGCTTGTCTTCAGACCTGAGAAAATGTACAACAAACAATTAAAATTTTGAAAGTCCAGAAAATTCAATATTCATATGACGTGCACACCGATTGGCAGGATTATATCAGTCTGCGCTAGTAGGCGTTACATGCATTTCGTCATTCAATTGTGGTTGGTGGCGCGCTTTGAATTTGGCCTTGAGGTAATTATAGCTGACGTCAAAATCAATACGCCCGTTAATAAATGCCTCGTCTGAGTGCATTGCTTTCAGGAATTCACGGCTTTTTCTAGTTGGGTAAGTGCCCACAGTCCGTGTGTTCTCCCATGCGAATTTGTGGCCGGTTTCCAGTGTGTGCATGGCCGCCTGGGTTAAATGGTCTTGTCTTCTGACCGCTGATTGATGTTGGTGTATGCGGGTTGAGGCGCATTTCCCAGTTTGGCCACAATAAACTGCATCACAAATGGAACACAGGATCTTGTGGACAATCCCTTTTCTTTCAGGGTAGCCAACCCTGTCCTTAGAGTGTAAAAGCTGTGATCCTAATGTGGTTGCGGGTTGGTGTGCTACTTGTATCTGGTGTTTTCTTAGTTGTCTTTCGAAAAGCTCAGATACATTTTTTTACGTATGGGGGAGTTCACTAGGTTGGTGTTTTCGATGTGTGGTTGGCCGTACCATTTGAAATGCCTTTCCTTTGGATTCTTGTCCTTTTTATGCACTAAAACACAAAATTTCGTGGATGTCCATTTTTGAGGAATAATTGAAGAAAAAGGTATTTCATTTCTGCTTCGTCATCAGAGCAGTGTATTTTAGTTCGATTGAGGAGGCTGTAGACAGAACTCCTTTTGTGAGAGCAACTACCCAGTCTCTGTGCATTCATAAGGCAATGTATCTGTCCATTTATTTATGCTGCTTATAAATTATGCTACTTGGTCCACATCCATAGCAAAATTTTGTGAGTGCCTTATGACCCCCTCCTCATATCAGGTAGGGCAATATTTAATAATTCCAAGGTAGAATGTATTCAGCCTGTAGTTTGGAGACTTTGAATTCAGACGCAGCGACCGGTAGGGCTCAAAAATTAGAAATTTTTTAAAACCCGAAAAATATCCTTTTTTCAAGCATAAAATTTAAAGAAAACTTAATTTGTTACCAAAAAGTAGAAGAAATAATATTTGTACGCATTTTTTTCTATAAACTATACTTGGATTTAGTAGGACAGTAAAAATCAATTAAACAGATGCATACTACTTAAGAAGCCGTTTTTTGTAGTGTACCCTATTTACATGCGGTCAGAAGGATGTTCGTTCAAAAGCCCGTGACCTGGTGTAACTAAAATATCTTGATAAGTAATATTACAACTCTGTTTAAGTAATTTGTTCGAATCGAAAACACATTTCAGGAGTTCGGTTGACTGCTCCTGAGATTGGGGAATCTTCTGCATCTCATCGTTGGCGTTGATCGGTGTACTATATTGGCTTTGCCGAAAATCTTTGTCAGATTGATAAACGTGCGGAGCATTACCCACATTTTTTTCTCAGCATCGCTCCTATTGATAACTTGCCGTTTGCGACAGAAGTAGTTGATCAAACGTAACTAAGGCTCCTTTCCAATATTTTTTACAAGTATGTTTGATAGGCAGCTGCTGTTGATTCGTCGATTTCTATCGTTTGCTTGTTGAGGTGAAAAATGCCCATGATATCCCTGCAGCCTTCGTGAAATTTCTATCGATATAATCTTAGAATAGACGAGTCATCTTTTCCGTACGTCTGTGCCTTTAGAGCTTATTCACATTGAAGTCGCCGAACTACCTGGCTCTTCCTTTGTAGGACTGAAAATCCCTGGGGGTCAAAGTCGGCTTGGGTTTGCAGAAATCAGTAATGATGACCGCTTAAACAGGACACGGAAGCATGAAGCGTCGATAACGTATGTGGCTTTGTGCCAGATTGCGGTGAAATTAGGTTTGGGCTTAAGGTGAAAGTTAAGGTCAGAGTTGGGATGAGGATGAGGATTATGTTAGAAATTATGGTTTGAGTTCGTGTTAAATGTAGGGTTTCGGTTTAAGGTGAAGCTAGGGCGAACATTAAGGTTGCCGTTTGGTTAGGATTTTGTGTTAGTTTTAAGACGGGGGGATATTTATCTCTCCTGAAAATTATCGCAAGGCCACCACCTACCTTAAGTGAACGGGGCGAGAGTGAGGTGGATGCATCAAAAGTCACCGCACCTGCACCACCTTTCGACTGAACACGCGGCGGACATCGTCGAAATCGACGGCGAACTGTCCTTCTGTTTAAGCAGTCATACAAGTCATCCTTATCCGAAATTCTATCCGTTGTTCCCTCACAGACTGAAAGTGGATGAGTACTGTTGCTTTGTGAAATACTTCTGCCAACCCTCCATGAACTCTCTCTCTCTCTCTCTCTCTCTCTCTCGCTCTCCATGCATGACTAAATTTGAGCAGGATTTTGGTGGATTATTAGTTATATAATACATTGATTGCACAGAAACATTCCCTACTTTTATCGCGATCCATGTACCATTGAAGTTCATCGGCATGTGCGCTCGGCCAGGTGTATTTCACCACCGGTTCTGCCTGCCTTTATCGCTAGGAAAACGTGGCCTTTTTTCCGTCTATGATACGTTGATGCATACAATTGATTTTGTACATGGAGTATTTATTGCATTGTTTCGTCCGCGCTTCCGCTAACAGTCAGTTTGGTGTGTTTGTGTCTAGATTGCTAGGCACTCCCACCGAGGCGACGTGGCCGGGCGTTACGGATTTGCCGGAGTACAAGGTAATTCAGTTGTTGTGTCATGTCTCGTCGTTTGCTGTTCCTCTTGGTTTGCTCAGTCCCATTCAGATGAGTTCATTCGTGTGTCGTGCATGTGTGCCAATCCTTATTTATGCCCTTTCTTCCCAGACCTTCACTGTCTATCCACGCAACCCACACTGGCACCAGGCTGTGCCCAATCTCTCCGTTCGAGGGCGTGATCTGCTTCAGGTGCGACGGTCCATTTTGTTGTTCACCTGTTTGTTTACCACTTTCTCTCCTCCTCCTCCTCCTCCTCCTCCCCTAAAGGCTGCATGTTCACTGTCAAACCGCAATCTTGTTTTTTTTTAACGATTTTAGCAACTGCTGGTGTGCAATCCGGCGGAGCGTGCAAGTGCGGATCAGGCCTTGGAGCATCCCTACTTTGACGCGCTTGCCATCTGACTGGCAGGCAATGACTCCGCCCTGTCCTCTTCTCAGTAGGCGCCCCTCTAACATTCCTGTGACTTTCTGGAGAAAGTAGGAACAAGACCTCAAGAGTACCTCCTACTCTGCTGTCATTTACCTTTCCTGCCTCTGGCGGCAGCCCTTGCCTATACTACTAAAAACAACAAAATCCACAGTGCATTTGATTTCTGTTTTTTTTTCTGTTGATGATGAGTTGGTCACTGAAGACCTCTCTCTCTCTCTAAACTCGATTCTCTGCCCTCTACCCCCTCTTGAAGCTGTGACCATGTGACTTTTATATTCAGTAATACAGTAACCATCTTGCCAATGTTGCACAGTTTTGGCGGCCTTATGTCTTGGCGTGAATTCCAGACAGTAGTCTATCAGATCAAATCTCTCCCCCTACCCACCCCCCATAGTGTAATGTGGCCAAATCTGCGATATCGCCGTCTAGGTTACGCCTTGTGTGAGCCCCCAAGGAAGAACACAACAAGAAGAGCGCAGAAAGCAGAAGCCTTAGAGCAAACCTAGTACAGCATACTTAAGGCAAGCGAACGCGTGTACAAGCCATGTCC